GCATTGCTTTTTGATCCACACACTTTTCAATTTATTTGAATGTGAGTGCGAGCTGAATCAAACTTTTACATAAAAAGGATAAAGGATAAAGCATTTGCCGTTGATCAATCCCTTTTTGGGATGCGGCACGCATTCTACTTCCATTTGTACATTCGTAGTGGCGTTTGAATGCGATGTGGCCTATACAATGACTTGCGGGGGCCAGCCGATGTACAAGTCAGTGTTTTTATCCTCCCAGACAAGTCTGGTACCAATTAACCGACCCCGGAGGGATGGAAGGCTTGGTTGGCCCGGGCGACTCACGACCCAGGATTTGATCCCCGGACCGCTCGCGTGGTAAGCGTGCCACTTGCCACTACACCACTTCCCCCCTTTTATGTTATAACATCGGTAAATATTTTCATAAAAAATCTTCATTTATACAGTACCAACAAATAAACACAGACCATCAGAATGAAAACACCATCGGATTAATAACTATCGGAAATCCTTTCGTGCTGTACATTAGCATTGCTCTATACACAACAGATCATACATATTAGTAGAAAGACATCTACAAACACAAGGAATGTTCAACCACGCCAGAACCCACCTCCATCCTGAGCAAAAAATTTTATAATTAAAGTACCAGTACCTAGTAAATATTTTAAACACTATTTTGGAGTGTCTGCCCAGCCAAAAATGTCGATCAACCCTAAAGTTTTGCTCAATAACTAGAGCAACCAATATATTAGACTGTTCGGAAAGTTTCCGCCAACATTGACCCTCAAGGATTTTGACTGCTACAAATTCCATTGATTTTGTTGAATTTTCTCACGTGTCTATTGCTCACGTCTTCAATAAATAAATAAAAAGTCAAGAGCGCAAACCTTCGGTTCAAGCAAAACATTTTTGATCAAATAAAAACTATCTCTATGCCTTCGCCCAAAAGAAGAGGGATTGAGAGATTCGGATGTTAGGAGTGCAGGAGTTCTGCAGAAACTTGGCAAAGGTCTTTCACCATCATGTCGAGTTTCAACGTTTGCTCCTTTGAAAAGACTATCCAGATGGCTGGAAAAGGGGAAATTGGTGGGCAAGAGGTCTACTGTGCAAAACTGTGCACGCAGCCTGACAAGTGTGAGATGGCAGTTGCTGCAACTGTGGGGAGGGGTCGGCGGCACCCCTTGTCGACTTGCATCTAGTTCTTTGAACACCTGTACATTTGAGAAGTGCAGCTCAGTTACGACTTATTACAAGCTTCCTGCTCAACAATTTCATTCAGATTTGATTTGATCAAATTAAGAAAGAAAAAACATTATAGACCAAAAATATTTAACATACGCATAGCACAGCCTCCGTTGACTTCTGTCAGTCTCCGCATATCTGACCTTCACTCTAACCTCTTCGACACTTTATCATCGCTTTTAGCTTTAGTCTTTGAGCTTTTATCGCCTTATTTTGAAACGACTGCACAGCGAATTTTTCGTGGATTCGGGACCAAATGCTCAGTCAAATCCCGATTTGCTTCAGGCTTCAGCACTTTTCCGACCTAACTAGAGAGGAAACAAGAAACCCGTAGATATCAGCCTGTTGACCATGCTGTATTCAAGGACTTCAAAAAAAAGAAGAAAAGTATTTCAGGGTTAAAGTTACAGTAGATTTAAATAGAGCGAGGAACGCGCTTTTTATTGTTGTTGATATGTAAAGTGGTAGAAGTTTCCTAGAAGTGATTCAGAAATGAAGCGTTACTGAGAACGGCAGAAAATTAGAGTTACTGAGAACGGCAGAAACTTTCCGAACAACCCAATATTGACGACTGAGAATCATCCTAAAACATGCTAAAAAGCGGATGCCGCATATAGAAATATCACAATAAAACCATAGGAAATTGAAAAACAACCTATCAAACTCATAATTACATAGAATTCATTTACAAGAATCACTAGCTAGTGCCTTTCACACGCTCTTCTATCTCGGAAAATTCGACACCCATAGCATCCAGCTCCTCCATTTTCTCATCCACCTGATCGCGTAAAATGGCCTGCAGAAAGAATTTTCTAACCTGTAATTTTTTTAAATGCGACGAAAATTTATAACTCGGCTCCAAGAAGTCCCGGAGGCCGGGAAAAAGGTGGATAGAGGTGGGTGGAGGAGTGGAGGCCAACTGTCATGGTGGGCGGGGCATGACCAAAGTGGGCGGAGTTTGCGACGAAAATTCATAACTCGGTTCCAAGAAGTCCTGGAGACCGGGAAAAAAGTGGATTGAGTTCGTCAACGGAAAGGGAGGTCAACTGCTATTGGTGGGTAGGGCGTGCACCAACGTGGGCGGAGTTTGCCCTAAACTTATAATTTAGTTCCGAGAAGTCCAGGAGACCGGGAAAAGAGTGGGTCGAGTCCGACAACGCACGGGAGGACAGCTGCTATTGGTGGGTAGAGCGTACACCAAAGTGGGCGGAGTTTGCGACGGAAATTCATAACTCGGTTCCAAGAAGTCCCGGAGACCGGGAAAAAGGTGGATAGAGGTGGGTGAAGGAGTGGAGCCCAACTGCTGTTGGTGGGCGGGGCATTTCCAAGTGGGCGGAGTTCTCCACAAAACTTTGTGACTCGGCTGCAAGAAGTCCTGGAGACCGGGAGAGAAGTGGGCGAAGGAAAGGAAGTGAATTTCTAATGGTGTGCGGAGCAGGATTCGCCGCCAAAATTATAAATCGGCTCAGAGATAGTTCAGAGATCGGGTAAAAAGTGGGAAGAGGTTGGCGAGGAAGAAAAAGTGGGACATGCAAAGAAATAGGCGGAGTTTACCACGAGGTTCATAAATCGGTCCGGAGGCAGTCCGAGGCCGGGAAAACGGACAATTGGTTGACGATTACGGACAATTGGTGGAGGAAGGAGGGAAGCTCAAAAGCCATCGGTGGATGAAGCATGGGGCAATCGGATAGAATTCAGCTTGAAAGTCAAGTATTCGAAGTGTATTGGGCCAAATTCGAAAATTCACGCCGCACCATCCTATATCGCCGCAGAACTGTGCTGTGCGCGCAACGCGTGCGGCGCCAACTGTATAGAGATATAGTATCCTGTTTTGCCATATATTATCGTCGTACACCAGTTATAAATTGCCACATTTTTTTATTACCAGCTTAACAACGGAGCGTACCTTTGCAGAATTGACCATCCTTATAGCGTTGAACCGGCTCAGATTTGGTATATATCCCTCAGCAGGTCTTTGTAATTCGCTTTTGCAACCTGAAGGAGAGGCAGAAACGTTATGTAACGCAAAATTAACAGGAAAAGGCAGAACTTCGTTCAATGACCCACTTTGGCTACATTCTTATATCCTGCGGCATAGAGTTGTCGTGCCCGTCCCCTTTTTACACAGTCAATTGCCATTAGTGGGGTCAGCTCAACCACTACACAATCTGACAGCCGCTGTACCAATTCCGGTAGAAGAAGGCGAAGTGGCCATAAAGATGGAATCTTCTGTAAAAGTATTTTCCATCCAAATTTGTGAAACATCACAAAAAAAACATTATAAAAATATAATAACTCGACGAAAAACAAGCAGTACTTCCGAAAACTTGGCAATAGCTGCTGCCTGTGCAACTGCATTCTGTAGCGTATTCTGTAGCCAGCCCCGGTCAACTCCAAATCTACAATAGAAATGTGAATTGCTTGACATTACTGATGCACCTACACATTTGATGGCTTGATTATTTCATAAAGGACTGATGAGACACCTAGCTGTAAGTGGTCTGTAACATGAATCCGAAATTGTACCTCTCAGCAACCGTGGGCGTGGGGCTGCTGTTCCAAATCTCTTGCAGGAACAAACCAATATAAAGACGCATTGCAGGCTCTCCGGCCTCCTAAACTCGCACAAAAAAGACTATTGACCAGGAAACCTTTGAAGGCAGTGGCAATGATGACATGAATTTGATGTTGCCTTCCCTTCAAACAACTTTATGATCAAATCCAATCCTTCCCACTCGTTCCACTAAACAAAAAGAAGGCCAAAAGATGACACCCTCACCAGTCGTCTTTTTCTTCACAATATATTGTAAAATGACGCTTTCAGGAATACCGTACGATGAAAGCAGTTTTTTCTCACCATCGGATAGAGCCACATACTGAAATTTATAATTTATAACTCTATTCAGATTTCGAAAAAAAAAAATCTTGAAGTGCTTCTAATAATGCTTACGAGATCATGGAAAAAGATTCCAGTCCACAGCACACGCTGCGTCATAGGGAGCTATAGTGAACAGAAGATGAAAATGTGAAGAAAACACCAATCCACCATTAAGGCTTGATGTGAGATCGACTGAAAGGCGCTGAGCCTCTAGTGGCGAAAGATTCGCAGCAAATGTTGCAGCTCCTAAGTTGGGACGATGAAAGAATACCCTGCAACAGTAATTTTCCAGTGATTTAATCGAAGCCCTAACCATAGCTGCCCAAAACTAAATTACCAGAATTCCCAAGAACTATGAATATATTGTGAATTCGCAAAAAAAATTCGCTGGAAAAATTCTGTGGAGAAAAACAAACTCAAACAGGGAATTCAATCTAGCAACCACTGACGAAATGACTTTCCTAGATCGAGAATAAGATTTTCAACTCAGAAAAAGCTATCAGCCATTGGAGACATGCGTAGTTTTCGGAAAAAAAAACAAAGATCGACCAACTTTCAACTTATCGATCTCGACATGATTTACTAATCCGATCATTTTATTACGGTTGTTTTATACTCTTTCTTCTGAAGTACAACGCGATGAATACCTCGTTGTCCTCCACCACCAAGCCATCTTCCTTGAGTTTATTAATAGCTTCTGTGGCAGCATTTCTGACCGCAGCAAATCCAATTTGAGCATGCAGTAAGGAATGCGTCAGTGCCTCACAGAGTGAGTCCAGCGAGTTCGCGATCTATTGAAAAAAGTGATTCTCAAAACAGATAAAACAAACTTGTGTGCAATCTGACTTCTCCTACCTTTAAAGTGACTAAGTCCACAATGAACGCTGAAAGGTACTCTAAACGTGCCAAACCGCTCGCGCAAGACATCATTGGAGAGGCCAGCATTGAGCGAAACTAAACTCACAGATGAAGGATTTGTTGTAGAAGAAATAAAATTCGCTCTTAAATCACAACGACCTGCCTCTCTTCGGGACCGCGGCGTACAATAGTGATACTGTCTCCTTTCTGATCATAGCCGGCTCTTCCTGCTCGTCCTATCATCTGCATATACTGTGCTTTGCCAAGAGGGCTGCAGCCGACTAGGGGAGCCTAAAAAAGCTATGATGAAGCCAATGAATAAAGAACTTGTATGCTACTGTGAACTTGAGGTAAGTGGAAACTACTAAAAAAATTCATCACGTGGAAGCTCGTATCTCACCTTAATGATCACTCTTCTTGCTGGCATATTC